AAAAACCAAAACAAACAAACAAACAAAAAAGAGAAGCATTCAGCCTATGGCCTCTGGATTGTACCCAGCCCACCAGAACAGTTCATCCGGCCCAATCCTTGCTCTGGAAGTCATGAGACAGGGCACAGAGTTGGGAAGAGAGATGAATTGCTCCAGATGATTATTCATGAAACGCTGCCAAAGGATCCCCACTCTCCCCCTACTCCCATCATGTAACTTGAGCTATGGCCATCATATGACTAAAAGGCAAGTATTCCCCATCACAGAAAATACATCTTAAATCACATGAAAGCAGGTATGAAGGTTGTCCACATGACAATGTTTCTTGTAAACTTGTCAGGTACACGTCAGTCACATATCACCCCAGCATGGATCCTCCTGGTGAGGAGAGGAGTGTGCATCTACATGGCACATGAAGAGTTTGACCCCTCAGTTCCTCCATTAGATGCTACGGGGCTTATTTAAGACTATGTGACACTTAACTGGCTTCAGAAAAGAGGAAGAAAGTTCAAGAGTTATCATCCACTTGTGACCGAGTTTGAAGAAATTATTCCATTCAAAAGGTTTGTTTGAGCCTGACCTGTTTTTTCAAGTTTCACACTCTTTAACAAACAGCTGAGGTTGAAGCTCATGCTAACAGTGTTTAGGAGCCTATTTTTGAAGACTATTTTTCAGTAGCATTCTTCATCTCCAAAATCGGGTAGGTCTTTAAAAATAAACTTCATAGGAATACAGTAGGAAAGAGTTCATAAAAATAGACTCAGGAGTCCAATAACAACCTATAAATCATTCATTCCCATCACACACTGACTTGCAACAAGACTTCTGCTTTTACTAAAGAAAGGAGTTCAGAACATTTAGGGACAGGTTCATTCATTCTAACCCGAGAGCATTTTAACTTGCTCCCAAGACAAGGATATTACAGAAGACCATGGTGTAAGTCATCTATCTGTCTTGGCTTAGACAGACTCCAGTACTATCTCGCTGTGGCTGACAGAAGGGATGAGTGAGGTTGTCCAAGTCCCTTGAGAACTCAAGGCAGATCTCAAACAAGCTGAGTCCTACTCATGGGATGTCTACTGCAGAACTGCACTCCTCCTTATGGAAACACATTGTTTGTATCAGAAAGCTATAGGCAACAGGAAGAAAGAGTTGAAATGGGGCGGGGAGGGGGAGGAGGGTAAAAAGAGGTTGAATAATACCATGGCTAAAACCAAATCAAGTGATAGAGGAGCACACGGTGCATCTGCAGGCACTACAAAGGCTGTCTGCTCGCCCCTCCCATCCCCAGCCCAGTAAATTAGCTTGACACCAGGGGTTTTTGTTGGAATTAACACAGTTCAGATTACTTGGCTAGAGTCTGAAATTCATTTAATGCTTACTGTAATCAATATACTGATCAGTCACACCCACTGTGTGGCTCCAAAAAACTAAATATAATTACACAAGAGAGTAACTTAGAAAAGCTATAGACCACGTTTGCTACAGTAAAGATGTATTGGTTGTGATAAAGAAATACATAATATGAATGAACACATCCCAAATCATTTGATCATAATGATAGGAGTTGCCTTTGATCCAAGACAACTGGAAAAGTGTTTTTGGCTGAAAAGAAAAAAAAACAACCCACCACCAAGAATTCTAATTAGCGTGAGTAATACATGAACAGATTCAGTATAGAAAACCCACTTTAATTCTATAGTCAGAAATTGATCAAACACATACATGTCAAAAAAAGACTTCCAATTACATGCAACTTCTCTTTATTTTACCAAATTTTACTATTAATATGCCTAATTTCTAGTACTATCAGATAATAAAATCCCCATGTTCTATAGGGAATCCCATTTCATAGCCCAACCTGCTCCCTCCTAGAACCCTTCTAGCACAATCCCACCATGTTACTGGAGGAAAAAAAAAAAATTTGAAAAAAAAAAAATCAAATGCATGTAACCATCCAGTGAATAATGCAGAATCAACAGCCCATAAAATGAAACCCTCATTTAAAAGTATAATATCACTTTGTTTGTTTTCCTTAACAGCCTCAATTGCTCTGTATTTTTCTTGTTTTCAGGGGACCTATAAAGATGGGACCTCGACTATGAAAAGCCTGCGCAGCCAGCTGTATGCCATTTCAAGGCAGGCAAAAGTACAGGGCTAACAGGCATAAGCGAGGGATCTCCCCCTCCTATTAGTAGAAGATCCAAAGCAGGTTGCAAATGGTGAGATACACACTGGAAAGAACTGTAGGGTTTAGTTATTCGGGCATCTTCTTTCCCAATTTACCCACACTTCCTCCCTGGGCTAAGTGAAAATTTTTAATTTTGGGAGACTGGCAAATTTACCAGATTAGGCAAAGTCTGTTTGAAAAACGTTTCAAGTTTAAAATAAAACTTTTCCTTGAGCTCTGGCAATTGTATTGCTAACAAAAGAATTTCTAGCACAACAGTGGCAACATAGCACAGACTTTTTTTTAAATGCTAATTGGGTTAAGAAATCAAAGCCTATCATTTACCTATGGAGATAAAATGTGTAGTCTTTATGTTAAGAAACAATGCATACAGATTACATGCTACAGTCAGGCTATTGTCCTGCATTCTTTGTGCACCACAAACTAACAGGGAAGCTAAGACTCTATGATCTCTGGTAAATCAGCACCGATTAGACAGTATACGTGCAGAAAAAAAATCAGATTCATAATAAGGCATAAGAAAATTCTAGATTAGCCTTTTATAAGCAAAACTCAAAATTTTAAGGAGAGAACTATATTACATGTCAGGTTGGAAAGCAGAATCTAAGAACCATACTAGCTTCTAACGAATTAGAACAGCCATATTAGCTTCTGTTCTGCGCAGCAGGAGACCAGAACAGAAGTCATCCTCTAGTCATGGAAAGGACTGCACGATAGCTAAGCCTTTATAACAGTACCTGTGGGCTCACCCTGTACGCCTGTCCTGGAAGAGCAAAGACTCAAGTCTTAGCACATGCATAATGGGAGAAAAAGCCATTAAAAAAAAAAAAAAAAACCAGTTCAAGGTACAATCAACATTATCACTCACTTACATACTCATAACATTAACGTGTAACCCTTCAAAAAAGTAGATTGCTCCCTTGAGTGCTTTCAAGATCCCCAAACCTGTAAGCACACTACCACATTTATCACAGAGGTATTAATTAAGCAGTGGAATTGAACTGTTCACATCTCATTTTACCTAGCTTTCGAGTTGGGTAACCTGTGCGTGTTCTGTTGTTGCTGTTGTTAAAAAAAAAAAAAAAAAGAAAAAAACAGGAAAAAAAAGAGAGAAAGAGAAGTTTCTCCAAAACATGTATGTAAATGGCTAAGCGTGATACAAGACTGACTGACAGCAATTCTGACCGTCACTCAAAACAGTTTTGTTAAGCCGCCATCATTGCTACCAGAGAAAAATAATATTTTTCCTTTTGTTTTAATCAAATCTTATAAACCTAGGACGAAACTGTTCTTATGTAATTTATTTTCCTATGGACCCAAGTAAAACCTGACTATCACCAAAAGCAGTATTTATTAACGCTCCTCAGGAGTGCCCAAGATACTATACTAAACTGCATGCCATACAATCGAGAAGCTTAGCATAAACTAATGGCACTAATACCTCTATCTTCAAGGCGAACGCTACTATAAACATACTTTTTCTTGTTCCTGTCTCTTACTAGCAGCCAACAGAGTGACAAGTAACAAACTCTTCAGGAGCACATCTATCCTTTTAAGCAGAAATGGGAGCTAACAGAACAACACAACCAGGATATTGAAAACAGTAATGATCTACGGTAGGAGAGCAAAGAAGAGGAAGAAAAATGGAAGTGGGTGGACAGCAGCTGAGCAGCAATAGCAAATGGAAGGGGTGGGAAGGCAAAAAAGAGCAGATGAATAGGGAAGGAGACAAATGAGATGTGAAAAGAGACAGAAGACAAAATTACCAAGAGTTAGTCTAAAACAGCAGTTCTTAAATCATGGCTCAGCCAAAGGAAATTACAAAGTCAGCCTGACGGGAAGAGTAAATTACAATGCTGCTGTCAGCATCTTACTTCTTGAGCAGTGTTGCCAAGAGTCAGCCATGGCTGGGAATTACTGACCTGCTGCATGGCTGGTGCAAGCGCTGTAATGACTTTGTTACCTAGGTGTCTCATGAATAAAAGGAGCGATGCAGCAAAGAGCAAGCATATGGGAATGGGAAAAGGGAGGAAAGGAGAATCACCATTGAGCTCAACTGGAAACGAGATCAAGCCTTCACTAACTGGTCCGCACACTAAGATAGCACCACACAAGTCACACTTAATCCGAAGCACTATGAAAGCTGGAAAGCATTTTGTTAAACAGAGCCGCAAAACCTTTTCAGGAGTTGAGGTGAGCTCCTGTGCAAAGACACACAAATTACATAAAAGTGAAATCTATGGTGGACACAAAGGTTTCATCCAGCATTCTTCAAAAATTCCTGAAATTGTAACTGATGAAGAAAGAAAACTCAAGATAGGCAATACATGCAATGAAAGGAGAACTGTGATGTCTAGGGAAGTGCTCCAAGGTACAACTGCAATGCTTTAGCTAATTTTAATTCACTAAAGACCTTAGCCACATAAGATAACATGCTGCCCTTATAATCTATAATATCTTGATCTGTATAATCAGTCCAATCGGAATCAATGTGCAAAGGGAAAGAAAGTTTCCTGAAGATACCATCCTAACTGCCCTTCACCAAAAAAAAACTAAACATAGAAGAGACTGCAGGTATGGATGGACACAACTTCCTCCTCTCCCCTGAGTTAATCCAATAATGCAAGTAAGAATTAAATCATGTTTTACAGGTTTTTATCATTGAATATAGTGCAGCATTAGCCTTCAATTAGGCTGACTTACACTGCATCGTTAGCTCAGAGGGAACCTGGGAGGAAGTTAAAGGCCTGTTTTTACCAAGAAACACTACCAAAAAGACAGAAAATGTTTGTATAAGCTGAAAACGTACCGTGAGTGTCTCTTCTGTACTTCTTTCCCTTGGTATTGGAGCAACTGGAAATTCAAGAAGGGATTTTACCGTCTTCCTTTTGGCTTTTTCCATTTGAATATTAGTAAAATAGTTGACAGCAGCGAACTCAATAAGAGCAGAGAACACAAAGGCAAAGCAGACCGCTATGAACCAGTCCATGGCAGTAGCATAGGATACTTTTGGCAGTGAATGTCTTGCACTGATGCTCAGTGTCGTCATTGTCAACACTGTGGTTATTCCTTCAAAGAAATAAAGCAAAAGCACTGCTGAATCCGAGTAAAACAAAGTGAGAATAGGCAAGCAGCTTCAAACAAAGAATTTTAAATCACTTAGGAGTGCTTCTCTGATGCTTCTGAATAGTGCATTAGATTTAAGTCATGGCAACCATCAAATATCTATGAGCAGCTATGCACACAAAACAGTTAACCAGTTTTTAAAGGAGGCATGGAAAGCCATGACTTCAGCAGATCATCTACAGTTGAAGAAAACATGGAAGCCTTCATTTCATATTTTTTTCATGTCAAATTCAGTAGAATTTCTTACAATAAGTTATTTTCTAAACATTTTAACATAATTTAAGTTGTTAAATAGGGGAGTGCTCCTCAGACCGCAACAAAAACATGGATTTTTCCTGTAATGGGTTCAGAATGCCACCTATTAGTCTGTGTCTGTTCCTCTGATCCCACTTGTAATCCAGTTGCCGTTAAGTCATGGCAAATTATTTTGGTGCTAAGGAAAACTAGAATATTATGTTAACAACTCTGTTAATTAAGAAACCATCGCCTTATCTTTTAAACCCTTCTGCTACTAGTCAACCGATGAAATTTAATTAGAATTTCATCTTCTGAAAGAACAACTTTTTAATTAAAGTGTACAAGCATGGACACTGAACTCAAAACCTGACCACTTCATGGTAATACTTCAAATGCAAATACATGCTGTATCAAACCAAGGTATGGGGCCTTTTTTCCTTTTTCATCCAAAATATCCTATATAATACAAATCTAAAATACCGAGTATATAGTGAACACTGTATAAGTCCTACCATGATAACCTCAAGGAAGACTGACTACAAATGGAGATGTCTTTACTCTTATGAAAAGAGCACTGTACCCATTTTACTTCAAGAGAAAATGCATATGCTCAGAAGAATTCAAAATAATTAAAAGCATGTTTTCCAACAGGATCCTCACATCCCCTATTCCTAAATGGTAGTATTCCACCTGGGTAATCTAATATGAAAAAGCTTCACCTAGACACTGTCATACAGAGAACTGGAGACAATGAAACCAGTCCTTCCTATTGAAGAAGAAGGAAAGAAAAAAAAAAAAAGAAAAAAAGAGTAATAGCCAGTTCATGAAAGCACACAGAATATCTCAGAGCAAACTCAGCAGGATAAAAACAGAGATACAAGCTCACAAAACCTTCTTCAGTGGGAAGGTGTTGAACAAACCACCACTGAAAATATTTAAGTCTGAGAAAAAAAATAAATTATGGAAAGCTTTTTTTTTCCTGGAAGAGACCCATCCCTGCTTTGCCCTACCCTTCCTGATTCTACCTTTGTCCACTTCAAGCAAATAGTTTGTCTGAATTGTCGTTCTAAAGACATTTGTTTAATAGATGTAAGAATAGGGTGAAGTGACTTGAATGACCAACCATTCCCCAAATACAAGGAGAAGAGGGGAGGCCGTGACAGTATTATAGTTTACTGCCATAGTCTTTATCGCGTTTCCCCCTATCAAATCACTCTTCTGAAAGACTTGCAGTTGGCACTGCAATTGCCCTTGGATACATGCCATAGGGATTTACAGAGTAGGGAATTAAATTTGGGTAAAAAATATTATACCATTTTTATATGGTATATATAGATAATATATATAATTTTTATATATGGTATATATAATTTTTATATGGTATAAATAGATAATATTAATTATCTAGAGCTAAATACTTGCAAGCTTCTGATTAGAAATGCACATAACCATATAAAAATATATTAAGAGTATTTTTATATTAAAATTAATGTCAAAAACCTGTTTTAAAATTACTGCTGTCCTTCCTCTAAGAAACACCAATCTCCCACAATCACCAGATTCAGGTGTCTGAAGCTCTGACTGCAGAAATCATGACCTGATGTACCTTAGTTCCTTGTGTATCCTTCCTCTGTTACCTTTGCCAAGGTCTCCCTAATCATGCAGTGTACAATGGAAAGTTCTTTTGGTTAGCCTCTTCTGACAGTTCCTCTAGAAAGCTGGTACCATAGCAGGTATTCTGGTTTCATTCCTATCTCTTGTCTGCAAGATTTCTATCTTCTTTTAAGAAAACCTTTAGAAAACAGGGTCCCTGTTGGAATTTGTCAGAAAACTAAAAAGATACTTTTAGCCGTACTTTAAGCCACTTGCTTTCAAAGGCATTTTAAAGACTCATCTGTAACTTAGTGAATGTCCAAACTTTATTACTTGTTTTCAGTTTCACATATTGATATAATGACACGTATTACATCTATTGCTGTATAATTTGTACATTTTCAATTATCACATTTTGTCTGTAAATACAGATTCTACCTTTCCAGTTCATGGCAATACGCCTTTCAAAAAAAGTACCATTATTCAACATTACCGCAAAGGCAAGTAAAGTGATATACTAGTTTGCCTAATGTAATGCTTGAGTTGTGAGCTAGTGGGGTTCTTATTAGGTTTACACGTTGTTTCTCCTATAACTAATCATTAACCTTGTCTAATTTGTGACACTAAACAGTGTTCTGACTCACATGTTTGAATGGGCCGTCATATAGAAACATTAATTCCTATCACTCTTGACAGCAACTATCTATCTGTAGAAAGGCTTTTTGTAGAACATTCTTTTCCTGATTACTCCTGCTTTAGACTACAGTACATTATAAAGTCAAGACATTGCTCGATAAAGACTGCTTTTAAAAATGTTTTTATCCTACTTCTTTGTTAGGAATCATATTTCCATTTATGCTTTGTCTTCCATAGGAGCTTTTTTTGGTTTTTATTTTCAGAGTTCACTGTAGCATCTCATTCAAGCTGTATTTTGATGAGGGCAATTTTAATATCTTGAGATCATTTTGCTTTTTGAATTCATTTTCGTAATGGCAATGGCAGAAAGGAGATAAGAGCACTAAACATAGAATTACAGTAACAGGATCTAAGCCTTACTCATAGCAAGCTTCCACTGATGACACAGCTATCTTGTAAGAAGACATCTGTACATCTCGCACACTCCCAATCAAATTATTTTAAAAGGATTTTAGAAGGTGTGAGTTCAAGTAATTACACTACTGTCCACTGGAGGATAAAACTGCTCTGGATGTAGACTAAGGACTTGACTTGATTACTCAGGGCCAGGTCTTCCCAGTTTGCTCCCCGAAGCAGGTAGAATCCCCACAGATGTACATCCATGTGCCACAAGCAACCATCTGGTTAAATATTCCAAGTTTCTCCTCAGATTCCAAGGATTCACATAATACATTCTTCATACACTGACAGCAAAAATTCCTCTGAGTTTGCCTTATTCCCTTGCTTCTGCACTAGCACAGAGGCAGTATACCCCCAGGCACTAAAAAGGCTTATTCTATTTAAAGTCATTAAGAGAGGAAGTACTAGAAAAAGTAAAAAAAGAAATAATTACCAAACACAGTTCTAGCTGGAACGGACTCCTTATTTATCCAAAACGAAACTTGAGAAAGGATCACGGTCATAATGCATGGGATATAGGTTTGAATCATAAAATAACCCATTTTCCGTCTGAGGTGGAAGTAAACTGTCATAACAATATATTCACCTAAAAAAAAAAAAAAAGAAAATATTTTTCTGACTGTGCATAAAATTTTTGTGTTGCAGAATAACTGTTTCAGACTACCAACTAGGATTGTTTAAGATGATGCTATTCATATCACTTAATGTGTATAGAAAGATATGTTCCTTAGAGACAAGAATGAATGAAAGTTTTAAACAAAAAATCCTGGAAGTAGTAGGTCCTTACAGTGCCATTCTGTAGCCGCTACCAAAAATACTATAAATGTACAGCTAATACTGGATCACTTTTTACAATATAAGTACGATTTAAAAAAATTCTTTTGGTTTCTGTTGAAGAAAAGAGTCCCAAGACACAAGCTATCTACCTATCATAGTATCCAGAACATTGTGGTGCCTACCTGCCAAATACAACAATAACAACAATGATGCACATCAAATTACATGGAATTGTCTCAGCTTTTTACTAGGTTTATACGTCAGCACCACTATGATAATGAAACAAATGCAAAAATCATTGACAAGAATTAAAAATACTCTATCTAAAATGTTATTATCATTCATACTAAAAAAAAAAACAACCTGCAGTTTTGCCATAAACTGAATAAACTGTCTAAATAAAGTGCTACAGAATGAGCATTTTGGGGACAGTAAGGAAATTCAGTTGTTAACTCATAATAATCAATATGCGGAGAAGTAAATTTCTAGCGTATTGCAAACTGCTGCTTCATCTTTAAGAAAAATATCCATAGAGCAATACATCAAATGTATTTGCTTTATCTGTTTCATTTTGACCATCTCACAACAGACAAACTTGCTGATGCTTAGAAAATGATTCCAAATTTTAAAAATATTTTGGGAATATGCTTGTTTATCACCACACTGCTCATCAGTGATACTTCACTCATTTCAGATGCCTGTAGTTGCCATTTGCCTTATTTCTTACAGCACAAATCAGCAGAAGTATCTATTGTGACTAATGCATTTGTGCCTATCCTTATCTGACTAGAGGGTTTTTATGGCTTTAATAACCCATTCTGTATGCTGTACTTCTATCCCGAGATGTTTGCACCGCCAAACAAAGGAAGTCTTTTGTACATAATGTGGATACAGTGCTGAGAAATTACTTCCTCACCCAGACATCCTCTTGACTCTTCAAACTGCATTTTAAGCAGTGATTAAATGCTCATTTTGTCCCTCGGAGTAATGATCTCATTCTAGCTTTCTGAAAGACCGCCGCAATCTACTGTAATGAATCTGCAAATGTAAATCTGAAGGACAGAAACCTAATTCAGATTTATGCTCTCAGCCCTTAATATATACCCTATGACATTCAGTAGAATGCCTTACAGGAAGGAAAGAAAAAAAGCCTCGGGCAATGTTACAGGGTTAGTTTTACCTCAAGTTGATTTTCACTGACGAGGTTCCTACCTGTAATAGATTTAATGGTTTCAGTGGATACCGTATGCCCCAGCAGGTCATACTGAACTAAACTGGAAGACTCCTCAGGAACTTCCACTGACTTCTCAGGTCCTTTTGTCCAGGTATAAATCATTTCACTCTTTGGATAAGCATCTACAACACATTATCAGTTTGCATAAATAGGAAACTTCTCACACCTTACTAAAAGCCCAATCCAAACCTACTGAAATCGAACGGCAAGACTCACACTAACAACTTTAGAAGATACCCTTCATGATAAGTTACCCCCAAAAACCACCCTCGGAGGAGAATAAATAGGAGCTAAGGTCATATGTTGTGTCATACACAAATTCACTTCACATTTGAATGTGAAGTCTAAACACAAGTTCTTGCTGGATCAGCCCTTATTGGGCATGTAAAGTTTATCTTTAAATTAGTTTAGAAATTTCTATCTAAAATTTTGTCATTAAAATATACTAATATATAAAAAAAGAGCATGTATAAGGAAGATACATTTTGGAGATGGTGCACATTTCTTTACAGAAAAGAATGATTATACTAAAAACTATGTTATACTAAAAATGATAATATTTTAAACTTGTGTTTAAAATATTTGCCAGAAACCAGAGGTCAGTAAAAAATTCACAATAGCCCAAAAATAAGCACACCCAAAGAAACATTTTACATTTAATACAAAAGACATAACTTAGGGCTACCATTCAATCCGTACACAGCCCAAACTCCTGTTAAAATTAAATTAAAACAGTCTTGCATTTGAAATGGCTACGTCTTATTTCAAGTTTCACTGAGGAAGATATCAGATTCATGTCAAGTGCAATTTCTGCTGGTTGGCGATTCTGCCTGAAGAAATACGCCTGTGGAGAAGCCCCCACTATTGAAGCTCCCCTATTGTACAGCTTATACCAAAGCCAACTCTGGCAGCACCTCGTCTCCCGTCTCACTGGAGATGAAAAACCTTTTCAGGTTTTTTCAGAAACCTTTTTCAGAACAGGGATGAAAAACCTTATCAGAGCAGTGTCTTTAATATTCCCCTTTTGGTTGACTACCCAGCTGTGTAAGCTAAATGTATGCTAAGGAAAGACTGCGAGTAGCTTCCAGCCATTTCTAACTTCAGAGCTCTGGAGTCAAGGAAAACAGATTAATGTCCAGCCACTGACCACATCGGAGTGCAAAGCAGAGAAGTCAGTGACTGAGGAGGCTTAGAAAAGCGATAAGATAGTTAATGGAGTGCACCAACCATCCCCAGGTGGTCTCAGAGGTCTCTGCTGTGGATTCAAATCAGGGAATCATAACTACCTCCCTTGGTTATTATGCAGTATGTCCCAAAATGTTACTTCTAGCCAAAGTTTGGAGATTATCCAAAAATCTACATCTGATTTCAAAGCAAGAAAGGAAAGTCACCTGCACTAAGATCCCTCTCATCAGTCTAAAAATTACTTATCTAGACTATACTTGCCATGCAGACTCCCGTTATAGGCCAGGAGATAGACAAATACAACTAAAGATCAAATCTTTACTCATAACCTACACATCTAACTTAGGATATCAATGTGCCTCCACTGACTGTAGAGAAAGTCAAATAACCTGCTTCCCTAGGTGCCTTTTACCTGGCTGTTGGAAGGTGAGATGGATCTCACCCTCTTCATCTTCTCCAGAGAATCTCTCACTTTACTGAGTATCCAATTCCTCCCTAAGAACCAAGAAAAACTATGTATTTCAAGCAACTCTGTAGCCAGAATAGTGGGGTTTAACATAACAGCAGAATCACTGCCTGCTTTTCAATTCTCTGCCTGGGTTTAATTTTTCAGGCCCTAAATAAAATTCCCAAGGAACTTAACAGGAGTTTTGTCTGCATAAGGATTGTGTATCAAGACTAATATTCAGAAAGTTTAGTAATTGTTCAAAATCTACTTCTACTATTTAAATTCTGTAGTTACAAGAAATTTCATAATTGCAACTTACAACTCCCAAATTTGAGAGGACAAGCATGACCATCCATGGGAAAATCCACTAATCTCATGGGACACTCTGCACTTATTGTAAGCCTATAATGGAACAAATTAAATAGTCTCTGGTTGCCATTTTGTCTAGGCAGTATAACTTTTTGCATACAGTAATTGTAAGAAGCTGAACAAACAAGTTGGATACCTCATTGTGTACAGGATGGTGCCATTTCTCATTATTCTGAAGAGTTTATTTGGGGCTGTCATATTATGTGCAACAGACTTTTTCCCATTCCTGAAGAAAGTGTCAGGAGTCCACACCTTCGAAACCATCAAGTTATTAAGTCTTAAAATTTCAATAGGGCCATCATATTTTAATCTTTTGTCTACCCATGTCTGACGGAAGAAGACATCCATTGTATACTCCTGTATTAAATTGCAGAAAAACAAAGATCACATTTGCATGTATAAGTGCTTCCTGTAAAAACAGAAATCCCTCAGAAGCAAAGAAATCAGTAATAAAGAAAATGCTAAGTCCACTACACAAACATATTTCCACCAAGTAAAGTGTGTTGTGCACTTCTTAATAGCTTAATTTCTCACATTAGTCATATCAATAAATTGCTACACATATTTAATCATTAAGGAATAATTAATCTAATTAGTTGTGGGAAGCAGGCAATTGAATTTGTAGTCAAGCACATAACTGGAAACAAAATGATCTCTGACAATAAGTGTCAACAGATTTTTTAAAGAAAAGATATCCATGGATTTTCTGCTGCTGGCTAAATTAAAATACCAGGACAAACGATTACTTCCACTTTAAATTCAGGAAAGAAAATTTAATTTCAACTGATGCAAAGTAAGCTTTTAAATGAAGAAAGCTAAATATTTCCTTTGCCATGCCCACAAAACATGGATAAATGTGCATATATACACATTTGTTTTTAACTATGTAACTATCCCATTAACTTCCTCAGGAAAGCCATTCAGATGCTCCAAAGAAAACATGCAAACAACAGCTGCAGAACTGCAGACACAGGCACATCATGAGAAATCATATGTGAATGAATGGACGAAGGAATGCATTTCTCATCTCTGGAAGCTAAAGCATTTCACAAAAAAAAGAATCATGTGGCATTGAAAACGGTAACACAGAAAGCTTTAAGTCCTTTCTAACTTAGAGTTGTGATTTTGTTAACAACAACAATGTTGTTGTTAACAAGCCCAACAATGTTTTCTGACTTTATTTCAAACTCTTCTGCATCATGTTGCCATTGAAACTACTTGTATGGCCATATCTATTTGCACGGGCAAGGAGGCATGTCTGCTAGTGCAATGCATCTTAGAATTATATCTGTCTTCTTCCCCATGGCTGCATCCTCCACTGTGGTTTATAGTTAATCTATGAAAAGTCTCTTTTCTAGCTTCATTTCTTGCTGGTGACTTCATAGCTCATAACTAGCAGTTTCTGTTATTAGCTTCTACATGACAGATTTTGTAATATGAGATTTCAACCCTTCTCATTACACTGGGTACCAAAGTAACCCAGCTCTAAAAAGACATTCTGATCATCCCCTGTACTGAGACTATATCACACTTTGCTGTTTCAGTGAGCTTTAGGAGTGCCGCCACATTCAGATGACATTGGGTCACTAGCAGATACATTAACTAAAAATCACTCCAAAACCGATTCCTGGATCCCTGAATAGCCTCCTAACTAATCTCTAATGATGGATTAGGAAACACCTCCTGTAAACTCTCCTTTTGCCAGTTCCTTATCTACCTTCAGTCCATGTTCTCACTCCTGCCTTCTCCAATATAACTAATAATTTCCCATGTGGCGCTATGTCAAATGCTTCACTGAAACCTGAGAGATGCCATGCAGCCCTCATTTTAGATTTGAGGAACACATTACCAGATTTCCTTGGGACCAGATTCTTGTACCCCTCATCACACTGAACAGCATCATACTGTACGTGACAGCCATTGAAGGGGTAAGATGCATTTCAACATGAGACTGCTGTCACAAATCTAGCCCTTGAAAAAAATATCTTGCTGTCACATACCTTTCCATGTGATAGAACCAAATCATACAGTTCTGTATGGGAAGAAAGTTACTGCCCTGAAACTGACTTTCCGTTAAAGAAGTTCAGTACAAACATATAATGCACATATGGCTGTTACTTCCATGTGATTTCTTGGATATTTTATGAAAAGAGAAGCTATTGTGTGATTTAAGGGTATACCACTAGATTATAGAAGCTGATGAGAGTTATGCTGAATTTGACCTCAAATGAATGCAGATGCCATTCAGGCACAAATAACAGTACGTGCAAATGTAACATTTCTCTTCTGTGACTATTTCATGCATGTCACTTTGACGTTCAATTTCTGCAGACACTTATGAAAACTCTTATCAGTCAAACATTTATTGAAAGTGATGCTAAAAGGGGCACAAAGATCAGCAAAGGGCATTCATCTGAAATGAAAACGTCAACAAGTATTTGTGAAATGATGTCGTTATTATTCACCTGAGAATAACACAAGTTTCAGAAAGGAAAAGCAATTTCAAAGATATTACACACTTTCCCCACATGACTTAGACGCTCCCTGCAAGGCCTGATTCTGCCTCTATACCATGCAAGGCTGTTTTAAATCCTATGAAGTGAATTCCTTAAGCCAGCCAAAAACCAGTGAAAGCGTGACCAGAATCAGGCCTGATGTATCTAATTATAACCTGTAAATTAAGCTGTTACTAATCTTGCCTACTTTGCATGATTGACAGAACAGTACAGATGAAACATCCACTCCTTACTGCAGTTAATGGTTTCTCAGAACCAGGAAATGGCATTTTAATCCCAGAAATACATACCATTTCTACATCAGAAACAGGTCCAAAACTGGTGACATATATATCTGTTTTGACTTCAGTAACAGGACCTAATGTATGAAAAGGAAGTGAGCAAGAAAATTTGAATTTTGCAGGTCAACAATTCCCATAAATGATCCTGGCATGCGAACAGTTATCGCTTTGAGGGTTCTGTGGACGAGCAAGAGCAAAATGCAAATACAGGTCATTTCAGATAAGTCTCTAATAACAAGCACTGCTCAATTACCTTTACTACATAAGTAAATCAAAAGCAGCATTTCCATGCAAATCTCCATTCAGAAAACCAATGTTGACTCAACGGATAAGAAAACAGATGCCAAAAAATTAAAAGGCTCACTGAAAACACCATGCTAATTAACAACAAGCACCGAATTCAGGAAATCCACATTCCCCAAGGCATTTATTATTACCAGTAGGACCAAATGTTAGTAACTGGACTACAGATACTAGCATGCTATGCACTGGGCAATATAGTACTGCAGTATCAAGAACTGCATCCATATCCGGAGATACACTTACGTGATTTAATACTAACAATCAAATTAAAAGTTGGATATCTAAGTATTTTTGAGGGTCTGAACCTAGGTTCAGATGCTACTACAAAGCCTGTCTTGAAAGAACTAGTGATACTTAGGACACTGTTCAAAACAGTGCGCTGAGCAGAGGTCTTGCACTCTCACAGCTGGGTACCACATAGCAACCATCAGAGAAAGGAGTTTTGTTTTAACATATCACTTCCTTTACTACAGGACAAAACACCTTGACATTTCAGATGGGCATTCACTCTACAGTACACTCTACAGTTCCCCTTAAACCAAAGAACTCATGTACTAACTAATTTCACTGGGATTTAGGTCTGTTCCCAACATAAAAGGCTAGAAAGCTGCTAATCATTACCAGTTATTATGATGATTCTGTGATCAAAGCATTAGCTAATGGTTTAATTCAGGTAATTAACTCACATCGTAAATTAAAAAAAAAAAAAAAAATCCACTGATGGTCTTACCAAACAGTATCTATGTGATCTACAAATTCACAACCACAGTTTCTAAACACCTACAACTAGAATTTCTAAAGAGGATAAGTGGCTCAAGTCTGTTAATTCAGGCTTTATCATAGCATTTGCAATCTAGAAATGAAAGGAGGAAAGACTTAAGACTGTTAGGAGCAGAAGAATATGTCCCTCTTGGAAAGAAAAAAAAAAATTTTAAAAAAATCACTGTTCACAGATTTCACTTTGAATCAAATGTTAAAAGGAGAAAAAGAAATAAGCAACTGGGAAACAGGGAACCTATACTTCTTGCACCCAGAACAAGTGCCAAACTGTGAATAAAAAGTAAAATAAAATCATGTGAAATTATTTCACTAAACAGTTTGCAAGTTATGTAGAGAAGAACAGCTAAGAATTTTTCAGCTAAATGTCAAAAAAATGGCTTTGCTGGAAGTTAACAGTTTCACAGAAGGACATTTTTCCGTGATAAAATCTAAAGAAAATTCACCTTACAACAGCTGGTAGCTCAGCGGTCCCTGGAAAGTTGGATAGTTTGGCATGTCTGTCTTGAAGAGGTTTGAAGAAGAAACTCCCAAGTTCCAGATAACACACTTTCATACCACACTGTTTTGCAATGGGTTGCTCTCTAAACACATCAAATGGAAGCTGCTCCCCTTTCTACAAATAATGAAGTGTTCATTAGGTCAGGGAAATCCATGAGTGGTTAGACCACTCATTTTACTGACATCGTAGCCCAATGACATTTCCTGAATATAATTATTTCTGGAGAGCAGAAGAGCTCCAAGAGCTTGGAAAAACTCATACTAGAGCTGTCAAGATACTGGAAGTGAAGACATTCATCTGCAGCATTAGAAAATAGGGGAGAAAAGCCCAATCATACTTGTACATAGAAATAGAAGAGATCCAATCATAACTGACCTCCCATAATCACCAGACTATAATTCATCTAGGGTTGGTTTAAATATAGAAATATTTATTTCACCTAAATTTGAAATGTTTCTGAAATCAAAGTTCTATAGAAATGAAAAAGTCATTTTCCCCACATAGCTCTAATAAGAAGACGTAGGAATTAGTCTCTATTACTCAATAATAAGAAAACACTGAATATTGCACTCTGTTCCTAAGTCCCTTTCAGGAACTACTTTATTTGTTAGTTCTAAGAAACTAAACAGGAATATTCCTCAAAAAAACCCCAAACCTTTAACTGCTTTCCTCTGGCGATATCTTCTTTTCTTTAGCTCTCAGAACACTGTAATTTTATAATCATAACCAATTGAGCAAAGGGACGGATTTTTCCCACAGGCATCAGCTGCTTCTCCTCAGGCATTGATTTATTTTGTTTTATTAAATGATTACAGCTTCATGGGCAATAAGTGTTCAGAGATTTTTTGCAAGTTTATTTTTTGGAGTTTCTCAGAAAGAAGGGGAGAGCTAAGACGAAGAAGCTAATTTCCAAATCAGCAAGCCTATGATTTAATGCTATTAGAAATCCTATAGCAGCAGCACAGGACTAAAACTATGCTTGAGTTCACTCTTCAGTAACTGCTATTCTGCTCTCAAACCTTTATTTATTAGTAGGACCCATGAAAAAGAAGAAAGCAAGAACTCTCAGACAATAAGGAAGCCACAAAATAAGGCTGAAGTTAAAGTTTACTTTTGGTTGCTTGCCCAACATGATGGCAGTACAGTGACAAAACAAATGTCAAAAATCACATTTTAGGCCACTAGAAAATGGCAGATGAATGAGGATCTAGAAATATTTTAGGCATCATAACAGTTATCCAGCTCGTACTGACGTGCAAATCCTTGCTTTGTATCCAAAACCTTGGTCGAACAGTAAAATGTTTGGTAGGAGTGAAGACAGCAGGAAGGAACAGCGAAGCTGATTATCTCCCTAAAGCTTTTCCTGTTATGCTCCATGTCTTCCACCTACATTGTCAGTTCACAACTGTTAAGGCCAAATCTTGGATGTTCTAGCACATCCCAGTACTTAATGCCAACCCAGGAGTATCTATGGCGACACCAAAACCTATCCCTTCCTCTCGTTCTAGAAGAAAACATAACTCCAGCTGGTAACAATAGCGGGGGTACAAATAGTGAGTCATGCTTCTTTTTTTTTTTTTTTTTTTTAACTATTATTAATCGTGGGAATTCCTGTCAACGAGGAGGTGATCTGTAGTCACCTAACCTACTTTTACTGGTGATTTAAGCAGCATCCGAAATGAACATGTTGCACCACTTAATCAACTCAGGCTCTGCAAGCAGAAGATCCTATTAGAATCCTTAACACACTATTACTGGTAATAAAATGCAGCGAGTTGTAAGAAGGCCAATTAACTTTAAATACGACCATTTGGGCTTATCCCTCAATGGATGTTCAGAAAGCATCTATCCACCATAAATCTTCTGGAACGCTGAAGAACTATTTATAACATACTGGTGTGTATCTTTATGTCAATGAAATAGGAGGAGAGTCCTACACACTGCAGTGGGAACAGTTAAGTCTGAATCACTGCTTGCAAGATAATATACTTTAAAGAAGCTCAGGCAGGATTAAAGCAACCCCTGCAAAAAGCCAGAATAGTTCAGTGTTAGATAGAAATGTTACATATGGGCTGAAGAAGCAATGCCAGGTCCTAACCTTGTGAAGAGGAACATAAGACAGCTCTCCCATGCATTTTATGCCAACATATGGGTTGAACTGCAGCACAGCTCCCAGCGAAAGACTTTGGGCTCCATTACCCCTGCGTCTCCATAGGCAACTGTCACTGCAGAGATCTCCACCGTATGTAAACAGTCAAATCCTGTACAGGCTTTCTGTATATTGCAAATTTTGCCATCAAGAGTCATGCAACCAATCGGGAAGATTAGCAAACAAGTCTGTACAAAGGTTTCAACATACAAAGTACAATTAAATGCTAAGTGCAGTTATTGCTGCTATTATGAGATCAGTCCCAGGATACATAAACTACATGAAATTATATTACATCAGTTCCTACAGCTACATCTAAAAAAAAGAAAAAAAGTAGTTGCTACAGGTTTTTTTTTTAAATATAGCTACATGTGAAAGATTTGGTGCTTTCTCTTTCCAAGTTCTTGCTGCCTGAATAGGGTGATATCTTTTAAGTGAAGAAAAAAAAGCCATCATGTGAAGCATGTTCTCTTGTTTCATTCTATCAGAAAGAACAGCCGAGGACACCTGCTATATGTAAGATTTCTGTTAGGAAGCCAAAATAACTAGGTAGGGCATTTTTTTAAAAATGAATGTGGAATTCAAACACATGGGCTACATTCTCTACCAAAAGACAAATACAACAAATGCAGCAGCACACAATAACCATTGTCTCTACATATGTTCATCCATCAGCATGTCTGAACCCTGAAAAGGGAAAAACATACCTCCAGAAATGAGGACACTACTCTGTTTCTTTGCCTGTTCATCAGCAGATAATCTTTGCCGAGACGGCCAACAAGCTTGATACTGGTGCCAGTTTTCATGATGTGGACACCTGTCTACTAAGAACTGGACTAAGAATATCAGCTAATTTTATACAGGTCACTGAACAACAGACAGATGGTAATGACTTCAAGCATTACTAACCTGGGCCAAATTCAAATCAGTCAACTACAGGTATCTAACACCATATCCTGTTAAGCCTTTGAGTCATCTACTCTCACCAGCTGAGGAAGACTGGACAACTGCCTGAAAAAAAAGGATCAGCTTCACTTTACAGTGCTCACTTAAGTCCATTTGCAATCTAAAAAATAAATAAATTACTACATCTATTGTGCTGAGCAATGGAACCTTGAAGGTACGTGTGAGTTCCTAATAAGAGCAGATAATCACGTAGGTATTTTCCTGTTCTCTAAAAACAGAAAATTGTCTTTGCTCTTCAAACGTATTCTGTATTTTTTTTCTGACTAAAGTAATTCCTCCCGCATTGACAGGAAATGAAACTCTTCAGAAATGCTGTTCATCAGCTGAACATCACACAGCCGAAAGGGGCAGAGAAGCCCTCTCCTACCCTTCTTAGGGGAGACGATGGCCAACATATTTAATTCCACCAAGTACTCAGCTGCTCTTTCACAGGCACGAGATCATGAGAAAGAATATGAAAAGAGGAAGGAAGGAAAGAAAAAGGAAAATGAATGAACACGGTCCTGTTCCTTCTACTCATGAACCAGTGCACGTGGCAACTTCTAAACAGAAAGCCACAGAGCTATCGCTGTTTTGATAGCTGATAGAAAGACTTGCAGCTCATGCCAGACCCTACCTCACACAAATAATGGAACCCAAGAGGAGAGAGAGCTCCAGCTTTCACCGACTGATGGGCAACCACACCACAACGGGCCAGTAACACACTGTGGGCAATACTGTCAGCTTGTTTAGAGCTAACGTCAGCAGGCTTCACAGTCAACCTAAGAGTCGTGGGCAGGAGGCAAGTCACGCACCACCTTCTTTCTTTGGTCTGGCCATACAGTTGGCCAT